TCAAGACCTACTGTAGGCCTACTGAAACAGAATCTTCCAGGGTGAGGCTGGGCTTCTGCTCTGTAAGGAGACTTTCTGGGTGACTCTTAAGCACATAAAGTTTAAACCACCAAATATTGTCTGTTTTACTCATTGTTGTACCCAGGTGCCTAGAATGGCAATTGACACAGCTCAATAAATAGCTAATGAATGAATGAAGGTCCCAAGTGTCTGAGGCCCATGGAGGCTACAGTTATGGATATCTTCCACACCATCTAATCCAACTGATGTCATAAAACAAGTGTCATATGAGGGAGACACCAAAGTTTTGCACTCCAAAATGTGCTTTTTGGGATATTAATTTTTAAACTGGTTATTAAGGAACAAATGACTCAGAACCTTTGACCCTTAAGGGCTTGTAAAAACCTGCTTAAAGGAGGGGAACATTACTTAGCATCCTAATACAAACTAAAGAAATCTAGCAAAGCTTGTTAGCTGTCCTTGCCTCTGTGGCCCATTGTTTCTGGGTGGTCCAGCAGAAAGTTGTTTACATGTTTGCTCTTTCCCCATCTACCTGTAAATCACCTGCTTTCCATCTGAAATCCTAGGCCCCTGCCTCCTTCTCCTTTGTCCAAAATGGCATAATGAACCTCAACTGCTCAGTGCACCTTCCGATTCCATTCTTATGGCACTCCCCAACGTACATTCGTAGGCATTGTCTCCTGTTAATGTTAACCTGTTTCATGTTAATTTGGTTGTAAGTTCTGCAGAGTTTAGAAGGGGAGAGGAAAATTATTTTCTTCACAAATGTCATATCCCCCAAGGGACCTTTCTACCTAGACTGGGGGGCGGGGAAGCTCTCTTATCTCTGCCCTACAGCCTCAGCAAACTGTCCCCACCTCAACAGACCTCTCCCTGCCTGCACTTAACTGCAAAAGCTGTGAGACTAGCCTCACCGCTTTGCATCCTTAATACTTAAAAAAAAAGGGGGGGGGAGGAGGGGGATTAATAAAGTGAATTAAGGAAAAAAATAGGACCTTAGATCCAGCATGTAAATATCACCACCCAAAACTGAAGCTAGGCAAACTTCTATAAGCCACATTTCACTTGTAGGTGGAATACTCAAAGGATTGTTTCCTTCATAATCATTCAAACCACAGGAAAGAGAGGACAAGCGAAATGCAGTCTTGCTTTTGAATATACTGCGCTAAGTTTATAATTTACAATTTATTAAGAACCCATTGTATCCTTAACAGGTAAGATGTTTAAAAAACTGGTAAATGTATGCAATGGAACAATGGAATGCTACTCCGTAATAACAAAGAAAAACTACTGATACACAAAACATGAATCTCAAATGCATTATGCTAATGGGGAAGTATGTAACCTCAAAAGATTCCACATACTGTGGGATCCTCTTCTGACATCCAGGAAAAGGCAAAACTAAAGGAAGGGAGTTTGAATCAGTGGTTGTCTAATCAGGCTTATGAGTGGGGGACAAGTTTTACTACAAGGTGTAGCACCAGGGAATTTTGGGGGTGATGGAACAATTCTGTACCCTGGCTGAGGTGGTAACTGCATGAACCTATACATGTGTTAAAACTCATAGAACTGTATCCCACTCCTGATAGTGAATTTACTGAATGTAAATTATATTTAAAAAGAATCAGCCCACCTGGCATGGCTCAGTGGTAGAGCTTTGACCTCAGTGGTTGAGCTTTGACCTATCAGCCAGGAGGTTACAGTTCGATTCCTAGTCAGGGCATAGGCCTGGGTTGTGGGCTCAATCCCCAGTAGGGGATGTGCAGGAGGTGGCCAATTGATGATTCTCTCTCATCATGATGTTTCCATCTCTCTCTCTCTCTCCCTTCCTCTCTGAAATAAAAAAATATATATATATATATTTAAAAAAAATAATCCATTGCATACACAATATAAACACATTAGGTCTCTGAGGGCCCTGAGACAATTTCCTTCCTTGATGAATCCGTTTGTCAACGTGGGACATACAGAAACACATGGTCTTGGGATTGTGAGTGTGAAACTGAGGGAACTCTGCTATTCACATGTATGGTCTGTATATCACAACTGGAGCCAAATTTAGCATGTGATCAACTGGAAGCCACTCTGTAGAAAATTCCTTTATTATAGTGCAAATAACTTTCAGCAGTGACATAATAATGTAAGAACACATTTAGCACATTTTACACCACGCAGTAAATAAGAAAGTGTTTCTTCGAAAATAGTTCATCAGAGGAACATTATTTCATTAACGCCAGAAAACGCCAAGGCTGTTTTCCTCTTTTTTTTTTTTTTTTGGATACTTTCTTTTTAATACAAATGAAAGGATTTGCCACTTTCACCAATCACCATCAATTCTAAGAGTGATTTTCGAATTGAGGTTGGCAAGATTTAAAATGGGGTTTCAAGTAAGAAGAATCTTAAGACAATGTTGGGTTAGCCCAGGAAGTACAAGTCATTTCTATTCACTTTTAAGTATATACAAACATTCACTCCCAATTGTGATGCAGAAACGGACCGATTGTCTAAAGCCTGCCTCTATTCCCCCACAGCCTGATTGTTAATTCCACTCCTCGCTTTTGGTCACATTGCAGCATGAGGACTCTGGTCAGAAATAACTCCTCACATACCCGGTGCTTTCGTGTGAAGCCTTAAATTGCACTTCCCATACTGAATTCCCACCTTGGGTCTCACACGGCCATGAGAGGATATGAGCATTGTTTCCAGTTTACAGCTGGAGTAGGCCCCTGTCTAATTTACCTACAGCTGAACCGGACGATCACATTCTTTAGATTAATCCCAATAGGTTTAACCAAAGCCTCGTAGAGAAACGACGAAAGATTAACAGCCTGTCTATATTAAACTGCCCAAGGGCTTGGCTGCTAACCAGTTAGCCGATGGGTAGTCAATTCCAATCCGTTACACTCCCAACTCCTCTGGTTTCTGCTGAATGATGCAGTGGGTGGGAATGGATGGCCACTCAAAGGAAATGTCCCGTGGGTTCTTCCACCATGAGGAGAATAAAAAAACCCAACACATACACTTTAGAGCCATGAGACATGAACCACAGGCTTGAAAATACCTGGAGCCACGGACAGCCCTCTAGACTGAGTAAGTCAGCTGGTCCATAAAGCTTTTCCATGCTCAACCAGGCTTGTTGGGTAAAGGATCGTCTTCTATAACACAATGGAACCGTGCTAAACAGTGTCAAAGGTTAGAAGAATCCTAATACATTGCCTATAAAAAATGTCACGATTTTAGTTTTCTTTTTCTTAGACTTTGGTACTGAAACACTGTCTACATTCTCGACACGTGAAAATGACATGGCCACTTCTGTGCCTCTGCATGTTGTGTAAAAAAAAACAAACAAAAACTCAAAAGCAAAGCAGGACAAGGACATGTCGTAACAAGACATGGTATGCTGTACAAACAAAACCTAAATGATATATAAATACACCTACCCCAGTACCCCGTTCCCCCCACCCCTGACCAAGCAATGCCAAAGGTCCTTCTCTTAAGGACCAATGAGGTTTGGGAAATTCAGCACCCAGGACGCCAACCATCCCTTTCCTCTCGATGACATGGAAGGTAGTGCAGGCTCCTTCGGGAGAGGCACTGCTATTTGATCAGCTCCACAAGTGCAGGGAAACTCCTACAGCCTAATCCGGAGCATTCGATCTATTGGTTGGACTCAAAGACCCGAAGTTCTGGGAGTTAACCTTTCAGATAAGCTAATTGGATCATTTCCTAATCTGGATCCTGTCTTTTCTTGTATCTCAGCAGAGCCAACCAAATAGGAAGCATCCTCTCTTCTCTGCAGCTGCAAAGAAGGCATTGCTTGGGGATACTGGTGAGAGTCACCTAATAAAAGTGATGCAATGAGCTAATAGCTTAGGTTGATATAAATTATTTGCAAGTAAGTTATTTGGGGCCAGGGGTTCCTGCTTTACAATGCATTCCAGAATCATTTTCATATTGTACTCTTAAAAGTTTATATAATAGTCACTTAAAAATTGTCTATGCAATCCCCTCTTATATGTTGTCATTTAGGTTAATAGCAACTTAAGGAGCCATTATGTAAATCTAGGAAAAAGTAGCTAGTCAGTCTTAAGGAAGCCAATACTGTGCTAATTCACAGTAAGGAGAAAAAAGCAATGTAAATAGATTTTTACATTAGTTGTCAATAACTCCAAAACCAGTTTTACCAAAATGTTGCGGTCTTTCTAAAAGCACTTACAGCAATTTATATCAAGAGATCCTAAAGACAGGGGTCTGGAGGATATGACTCAATTGTTTAAGGTAGAAATTCACCCATTACATGATGGTAATATGTATCTTTCCCCCCTCGGACCTAAGATATTTGTACATTCAAAAGTTCCTAACTTGTTGTTCTTGAGATAGTAATCATTTTCTAATACATATGTTGAGCATAAATAAATATGAGAAAGCTTTAAAAATATGAATTAACATTATCCTGTGCAAAACAAAAACCTCCAAAACAAACAAAACAAAAAAACCACCACACAAACCTTGAACAACCTACATTCTATGTTAATACCCTGACTAAAATGTTGGTTGTGCTACACAATTCCACTTCAGTGCAGAAACGAGCTGATTTCGGTGTACCGTCTTTATTGTTGTTATTTGTATGTCTTTAGCACTTTTTTTGTTTCTAAACATCACCTTGCTTCAAAAAAGATGAATAGCTTGCTACCGAATGACAAATTATCACAAATCCAGTTCCGTTTCGTCGGAGTAAAATCCAGCATAAACGTATTATTTTTTTCTGAGAATGATGGCTCAGTGTCTTTGTTCCGACAGCTTCCGAAGGGCAAGCCTTGGTCGAAGTTGTCATGTTGAGTTGAAACTGCAAAGAAGAGACGGTGAAGCTTTGCCTTTTGTTTTTGTTTTCTTTTTGAAGTCTCCAGATGTTGTTCAGACCAGCGGTCGAATCGTTGTGGCACCTGATCCGATGTGACATGGAGGTGGTTCAAACAACATCAGCCAAGCTTCGTGATCTGGAGGTCCCCGTTTATCTTTATGGTGTCAATGGCAGATAACGTTTGCACGCGGTGGTAAAAATCAAAAAGTTGATGTCCGTCCACAAACACTCTGAAACGTGGGTGCTCGCAGAGAATTTCCACCTGGAAGAGACAAAACAAATCTCAGTTCAGTTTCAGGGAACCCTGCTAGAGAAGACAGACAAACCATCTTTCACTTTAGAGCAGTGTTTCCCAAACTTTTGACATATGTGTACCCCTTCTATGATTTTCATAACGCTGGGAACCCCTCGTAGTCATGAGAACATAGAATTAGGCACAGCTAAGCACGGCGCAGTGCATATCCCCACCAAACTCCGGTGCAATGCGTACCCCCACCAAACTCTTCCCATACCCCTGAGGGTATGTGTACCACACTTTGGGAAACACTGCTTTAGAGAAAGAAAGGCAACATCTTCAGGGGCTCTCACATGTTGGGATGCACTGGAATAATACAGTGCGTTTGGTGGGACACAGATTGCTGGGCCCCACCTCCAAAATTTTCATTTTAGTAGGACTAATGTGAGATCTAAAACATCTACATTTTCACCACGTTGCTGCTTTTGCTGGAAGGAGGAACACACTTTACTGCTCTACACTCTTTAATATCCTTTGAAGACTTAAAGTTGCTCAGGCTTTAACACTCCAGAGAGCACAGCTTTATTGATGTGGCACTTACTGCCTCCCCTGTCATCCCCCTGAACAATCCATCCATCCCACCTTCAAAGGAGCCTCTCCCCTAAGGCAGAACTGGTACGCATTAGCAGCCTGTAATGTTAGTCTAGACACTCAAGCCCTGCAAACTCTAAGGCGAAGAGGTTACGGCGTAATTACCACTGCACCAAGGATGTATAATTAACAGGGCTTTGTTAAGGCAAACAGAAATACCGATTCCAGAGGGTAAAGAGGTTTTTCTTCCTCCTTTTCCTTCAGGAATTCACCACGGAGCTTAATCATTGGTTCTATGCTATGTATTTATTAAAAGCATTGGCATCCACCATGCAAGGAGAGACTCCATAGGCGATATTAGTCACATTTAATGCGTATTATTAACCAAAATTATATCACCAAGGAGGGCCGACTTCATTTCAATTTGGTTGTTGGGAAGCATTCTATTCCTTTTGGCAGTCAGGAGCCCTGGTTACTCACACTCCTGAGCTACGCATTAAGATTCATAATTAAGAAACCGTCACTGTCAAGAGTAGCCGAAGGGGTCATTACCGTCCTAGAGAAAGGGAAGGGCAGGGATAATGGGCGGGGGTGCCTCGCCCGGGCTATGATTAGAAGGGCAACAATCTCAATTCTACCACTGGCATGAACACTCGTGGATTCCTATGTCTCCCCGCTCCCGCACCCCACCCCCCAGAACATAATTACTTCTCCCTAAGGCCCTTATCCATTTTCTAGATGAAGAGCAAAGGCAGGGAGTCCTGCTTTGTTCTGAGTATATGCAACACAGAGCTGTCAACGGAGCTGTCATTATTGTGACATTTTTGTTAACAAGGTATCATGTGGACAACTTCGTCACCAGGTCTCACATGTCAGCAAGTCCTCTCTTAACACATTACTGACTTGCATCTCCTACAGCATGGTCCTTCACAGAGGAAGGTGCTGCTAATGCATCTTAATTGGAGGGGGAGTGTGGGCGGAGCTTCCGGCCTGCTAGAGAGTGAGGAGCAAATCTATACTCATCCAGGTCCAAGGGAAACATTTGTCAGCCACACAGCCTGTGACTGAGGCTACTTAACCCATGGGGGGGGGGGGGGGGGAGAGAAACAGAGACCTAACCAGGCCTTGAAATACCAACCACTATATTCTTTAAAGAGGTATCACTAATAAGATTTAGCGCTTCTTCAAGGTTGAGTAAAAAAAAAATGAGGAAAACTTGTCTTTATTCATCCATCAACAATTTTTGAGACAGGCATCTAGGATATACTTAATACTAGGTTAAGCACTAGTTAGAAAAGCATCCTTAACAATCAGGACACATCCATATGGATTTCCTTACTCCATGTATTAGCTCAGAGCTAGCATGGTGAGTATTCATTCAAGTCAGCAAACAGTCCTTTTGATCTTTTTTTCACCATCGGGTGACAGATTTCCTGGACATGCAAAAATTCTGGCTGCTTCAAGGGCTCCTGGCAGCACTAGAGGAGGAGAGCATTCTCACCCTGCCAGAGGCTGGAGCGGACGCCCTCGAGGCACTCACCCTGAACGGCTGGTCCGGGATGAATGGAAAGTAAGGGATAGCTGATTGTTCTTCACCCCTTTCGCCAGATATACAAGAGTTTCTGAGGAGCTGCCGGTCTGTGAACACAGCTTTGAGTTCGATTGCCACATCAGCTGGAGGATCTTCTGAGTCACCGCACGTCAAGCTGATGGCAAAACTGGTAAGAAAATCATCTCATTTATTCAAGATTGGACATAACCACATTTAACAACGGCCCGGGCTCCCCTCTTTCTCCTTCTTCTCGGGACGTGTCTGCTTTTCACGGGACACAACTCTTTACCCAGGTTAGGCCAGGTATGGAGAAATAGGATTATAACCAAACCAGTTATCTTGTTACCTAAAGGAGGCTCTGGTGGAGTTGAACATGACTAACATTGGGGACTTCAGATACCCCAAACCATTCACACATCTTCTATCTTAATCCATTTCAGAATTCTCAAAAACTGATCAGGGGAAATAATAATCTTGTACATTTGGTTCTCATTTATATGGATAGTTCTCATTCCAAGCACCTTAAAAACCATAATAATAATAATAATAATAATAATAGAAACAAACAACCAACAACAACAACAAAAAAAACCCCAAGTCCTTTGGCCTCCTTAAGGGTCAAAAGAAAAAAATGATGTGGGCCTATATTTATAATCTCTAGATATAAATAGCTGTCTGGAGAAATGATGGCTGGGATTCATACACATTCTTTTCATGGGAACATGGTACTTTCTTGGCACTTCCAACTAGCAAACACTGGCCACAGGGAGAGGAAGCGGAGAAGCAGTGCCTAGGAGTGGGCAGGGCCTTGTAACTGCCTGATGATAGCTCTGCCTTACCTCTCAGGGTTGAGGTCAACGATGCCCATCACTAACACCTTCTTGCCCGGTCTCATGCCACCTTTGATATGCCCACAGAATGGAACTATCTGCAAGGGGAAACAGGAAGTTTACAGCCTGTCAGGCAAGAGCCAAGCCCTCAGATCCTGAGGACCTGACCCATTAGAAAATGCAATTGGAAAGGAAGCGGGTACAGGCAGAGACCCAGAGCACAGAAAAACAAAAACAAAAAAAACAAAATCATTTACCAGTCGTGGAAAGTACACCTCGGCTTGAACCGGAGAGCCCAAGGAGTTGTTTAAATGTCCATCATCTAGTTTCTAAAAATAGAAGCACGCAGATTGGCTTTTTACAGGCCGGTTTTGGGGTGGGGGTGGGAGTTCGGGAAGACCTACACAAATCTGATGGAATCCAGCAGCCCTCACAGAACACAGGCAGCGCCTGCAGCAGAGTCTGCCGCCTCACCGTCCCTGGAATAATCACCCAAACCCTCGCATCCAAACCGTCCTTCCCACCTGGTTAGCTAAGTCTCTAACGATCCCCAGGCCCTTCAGATCTAGATCAAAATCAAGGTCGAGGCACACCGGGAAGCCGGAGCCCAGCCCGGAGGGGGAGGAGGGTAGCAGGCCCCTCTCTCTAACCGCGAACGCATCCGGACGCGCGGTCTCAGGCCTGTCCTCCGGGGGGACGTGGCTGGAGCGCAGCAGCCGCGCTCCACTTCTCCCGGGAGCCGCAGGCGCCGACCCATTTCCAAAGGGGGAATCCCCGACCGGGGGTGGGGGTGCGGACACGGGGGTGCGCGCGCCCCGACACCCTCACGCACGCGCACCCTCCCATGTGCAACGTGCACACACACACACACCTGGCCGGGGGGCTGCACGGCACGGAGGGGGAGGGGAGCTGTCGGTAACCCCCATTCTCCCCAAATAACCTCCCGGGGGCCAGCGGGGCCCCCCAGCCCGGGGCACCCCTCCTGGCGCCCCCCACGCCGGGCGCGCACAGCGGCTGCTGCTAACAGGTCCCGGGCACCTTCGCGCGCGGGGGGCGCCGGCTGGGCCTCGGCGGGAGCAGGGGCGCGGGCGCGGGCGCGGAAGGGGGGGCCGGCCGCGGGAAGGGGGCGCCTCGCGTGCACCCCCCGCCACACTCACCACCACGGCATCGCTGTCGGCCACCGATCCCGCCATCTTCCTGCGGAGCGCGGCTGGAGGCCGGCGGCGGCGGAGCCGTGGGACGCGGCGGCGCGCGGGCGGGGATCCCGGGGCGGTCCTGCGCCGGGCGGGCGGGGGCGCGGGTCCGAGGCTGGCCGGGGCGCGCGCACACCCAGGCGGGCACGCGCGCGCGCGCACGCCGGGGAGCCCCGCGCCGACCCGGCGGGCAGGCCCGGGAGGGGGGAGGGCAGGCAGAGGCGGCGCCGGCCCGGGGGGGTCGGAGGTGGCGGGTCACCGGCCGCGCTGCCTTCCTCGGCCTCCGGGCGCCGCGATCGCTGCGCGAAGGTGAACGGTGCCAGGAGCCGCCGCGCCGGCCTGGGCGGCATTTAAAGGCCGCGGCCGCCGGGGTCCGGCTCGGGGACCGGGAACAGGGCGGGGGCCCGGCGCGGCTGCCACGGCTGGCTCAGCGGGCCCTGCCCCTCGGCCATTGGACGGCGGCGGGAGGCCGGGCGGGCGGGCGGGGCGGGCCTGTGCGGGTCGGGGCGCGCGGAGGGCCGGGACCGGGCGGCCCCCTCTCCTCCCGCTCGGGCCGTGAGGGTGGGTGGGGCTGGGGGTGATGGTGGGGAAGGGAGGGGGCTTGCCAGGGCACAGGTGCTTGTGACATATCCCCGCCCCGCCCTCCCCGCCAGCCAACCCCCCTGCTTTCTCTCGGCCGCGTCCTGGGGCAGGTGGGACCGGGGAGGCCAGGTCAAGGGAAGACTGGGTTTGGGGGGATTATTCCAGAGCTCGAGATTTCTTTCAGAGAATTCCAAAACAAACAACAAAAACTGGGAGGAAAGAGCCATTGGGCTCTCTGGGGTAGAAAGAGAAGGAAAGGTCTCCAGGTTTGTCTAAGTAAATAGTGGGCCCCAAGCCCGAGGCAGGAGGATTCTCAGGAGGCACTTTATATCCCAGGAGATTAGCTACATCGCAGGCCTCTGTCCTGTGGAAGCATGGGAACCTGAAGGCTCTTTCAGGCGGGGGTCTGGCTAAGTCTGACCAAGGTGAACTGGAGTGCCTGTCCTCAAAGAGCCTCCACTGGGTCCTGTTTTTTTAATTTAATTTTTATATTATTTTTAAATTTTTTTTATGAGACACCTGCCCAGTCTAGCAGGGTAGTAACATTTGCCACTGAAAATCTTTGTGGGAGTCATTTCCACGGGGCTGCACCCCTCTTTATTCTAAGGCACACATTCCTTTATGGCATTTCTACATGAGGATGGTTATGTAACGTCTCAGATAAAGCTGAATCAACATACCTCTATTAGGTGACATCTTGGCTTAAACATTCCATTGTGTGAGTCATCAGGGTGTTTACACTAATTAGTAGGGAGCATGTGTGTGACCTCCTGCAATCCCAGAGGGGCCCTCCCTGCTGCTGGCCGTGTAGCCCTGGAACATCACTGCGGCTTTTGTGTCTGAGCTTTCCCTTTAGGGACCAGAGCTAATGGCGATCATCTCAGCCCGGTAGAAAAAAATCACCTGCACACGCCCGTAAGCCACAGTCACGTGTGTGTTCACTGAGTTAGACGCTGAAGTGCAGCACAGTTGTGGCTTACATGTTTGCCAACCTCAGCTTCAAAATCATGCTTTATTGATTCCTTTAAAACAGTAGGCAGTGATAGAAAACTTATTGACATTTTGAAAGTATATCCAGTATAATCCCAATTTCTGAGAGCCTGGTATCATTGAAGCTGTCCTTAGCTAAGCTAAGAGTGATAGAATACATCTTGGTGGGTAGAGAGTGCCCAGGTTCAAATCCTGGCTCTGCCAGTGACTAGCTGGGTGATTCTGGACAAGTTACTCAACCTCCCCCATGACTCTGTTTCTTCATCTGTGAATCAGAGATGACCACAATGGTGATAGTGCCTATTTCGTTTATTGGGGAGATTAAGTAAATTGGTTCCTGTATCTTCCTTACAGTGGTATCTGACACAGAGTAAGCACTTGCTCCAAAAAATATTGAGTGCCTGCCACGGGCCAGGCACTGCGGGTCCAGCAGGGACTTCTTTGTGAAATTTACATTCTGGTGGGAAAGCCAGTCAATACATAAATATATAACACATCAGCTGGTAAACTGTAGAGGGCCACCTGAGAAGGTACAGGAACATCCTTTAAATTGTCAGCTGAGACCTAGGGCTGAGGGTGTATTCAGTTTCTGACTTACCTTTGCCCAGGTGTCAGCAGGGGCGGGTCTAGATATGTAAATCCAGTAATGCTAGGGCCTAGTTAAGATTGCAAATAAGCTCCTTTGACCCTATAAATAAACCTGCTGTGCAGCTCGGTCGCTTGCTACTCTCCATCAGAGAGATGGCGCCCACCTAGCGCCCAGCTTGATGAATCTATTTCTGCCTCTTGACTCTTTCTTTCTTAATCCCCAGCTCCTCCACTCAGGATCCTGTCGTTTTCTGTGATGGACACGGAAAACAGAGAAATAGCCCCCCACAGTAAACATTTAGAAAAAAATAGTAAAGCAAGCTGAAACTGGTTTGGCTCAGTGGATAGAGCATCGGCCTGCAGACTGAAAAGTCCCAGGTTTGATTCCAGTCAAGGGCATGCACCTTGGTTGCGGGCACATCCCCAGTAGGGGGTGTGCAAGAGGCAGCTGATCGATGATTCTCTCTCATCGATGTTTCTAACTCTCTATCTCTCTCTCTTCCTCTCTGTGATAAATCAATAAAATATATATTTTTTAAAAATAGTAAAGCAAGTAAGGTGGGAGAGAGATAGGAGGTGAGATATAGGACGGTCAGGGAAGCCACCTTTGGAAAAATTTGAGGAGATTCCTGATGGTAGGGAGGGAGTCATTTGGATGTCTGGAAGAAGAAGTTGCTGGCTTAGGGAAATACCAGGGCAAAGTCCCCAGGGTGATGTATATGGGTGCAGCTGGGGTGCAGCGACTAAAGAGATAAGTGAGTAGAAGTGGGCTAGGCTGTGTAGACCCTGTGAAGATGGCTGTTACTCAGGAGAGCAGGGGAGGCATTGGAGGCTTCTCAGCAAAGGAGAGACATCGTTTGCTATCTGTCATAGATGCATCCCTCTCGGCTGTTGTGTGGACGGACTGGTCTTTGTGGGGAGGGTGGCATGTGGGAGGCAGGGCAGAAGCAGGCCTTAGAAGGCTCCCGCATCAGTCCAGGTGAGACACAATGCTGGCTTTGACACAGGAAGCGGTGAAGATGTTCGAAGCCGTGGGCCCTTGGTTAAGTCCTAGCTGTTGTCATTAGGTAGCCTTGAGAGTTTATATCAACTTCTAAGCCTCCGTTTCCTCACCACAGAATTAAGGAGTAGGGCTCACTCATTACGCCTTCTTGGCTCTTACAAAATTCTGGTTTCTGGAATGTTGTGTAAGTAGCACCTACATTTAAATGGGTGGCAGTGGGTGCTGCTGTGTGAAAATAATCCGGGGTTCAATCTTTTGATAAATGGTTTTGTGAGGGTGAAGAATAACCCTCTTATTTCTTTGGTAAAATAGAGTTGCCAATCGATATTTGGATGGCTTCAGATGAGTTTCTTACATTTTGGGGATGCAAAGGATAGGAAAGGACTGCCCCTGCCCCGAATGGGAATGTGTTAACATGGAAAATTGCCTTTTATTCCCAAAGTGCTCCATCCCTTCTCAGTCTATGGAATGGTTCATCTTGAATATGGAGAGCAGAAAGGAAGCTCTCATGAATATTTTGTTATAATTACAGCTGAACGGAATCTAACTATAATACCCCTTATAGGGTAAAGTCATTAGCAGACTAATGAGTTATAGAACTTAAAAAACCGTTTTTATTTTTAGTTGTATAGCGGAGGCTAGACAGACTTTGTGCTTCGATTATAGGCATTTGTCTCTAAAAAGCATTCACACACACAAAAATAAATAAATAAATAAAAAGCATTCACCGAGATTGACCTTTTTAATGAAATGGACTGCATTACTACTGGAAACTGCTGAAAAGGCTAAAGAAGCGGGAAGGGGCAGAAATGCAGTCAAATAGATGAGGTTAGCACTAAAAAGGAGGCATGAACAGGTTTTTCAAGATAGACTGCCAAATGACCTTCCTCCCAGATGAAAGAGGAGATCACTTCCTTTTTCCTTCCTATTTGATATGCTTTATTCAAATGTGTACATACGGAAGGTCTTACATTGGGAGGAGAATACAGCACCGACGTCAACGCAACAGCCATTCTGTGTATTGCTGTGTGCTATGACACCATGGATAAAACGGTACTTGGCGGTACACGATGTTCCTGGAGGAACTTACAGCTCACTCTGCGGACCACGGCAGGATGTGGTGGGGGGTAAGATAATAAAGGTAGGATAGGGCCTAAATAGGCAGTCGGACATCCCTCTCACAATCCAGGACTGCTGGTTCCCAACTGCTTGCCTGCTTGCCTTCCTGATTGCCCCTAACTGCTTTTGTCTGGCAGCCTAATCACCCCCTAACCACACCCCTGACAGCCTGATTGATGCTTAACTGCCCTCCCCTGCAAGCCTGGTCCCTCCCACCCCCCACCCCCAACTTCCCTCCCCTGCTGGCCATCTTGTCATGGCCATCTTGTATCTACAAAGGGGCAGCCATCTTTGTCCACATGGGGGCAGCCATCTTTGTGTGTTGGAGTGACAGTCAATTTGCATATTACTCTTTTATTAGACAGGATGACATTCATCTATTAGTATTTTAATCTAGAGTAGAAACTTGCACATCAGAAACACCTTCCTTTTTATTTGGCTCCTCCTTGTTTCCTGACACTGCATGAGCACTTCACAAACCCTCCACAGAGAACCTCCAAAATGAAGGAGGACCCCTGTGCACGTCATGTCTTTGTAATACCGAGACATTTGTGTGAATGCTGCGTTCTGTTCCACAATATTTCCGTGCTTATTTTTGGCATACACATAATGTTCTCTCCACACCCACGAGTGCAGTAAAATTAAAGCATCCCAAACATTTACCTCCTGTATCTTGTGGTTTGAGTCCCTCCCCACCCCAGGCCCCACAGGGTGGTTG